AGCTGTATCTGTATATTTGACTTTTCATGCTAAATGACAAAAAAAGAGAAAAGGAGCTTCTGAGTCTGTACCCACAACTCGGCCAAAATGATGGTCAGCGCCGGCCTGGTCCGGTATGATCTGTATCACCGATAGCCTCTGTGTCATGTTGAAGGAAAGGTCAGAAATATAGCCTTTCACTTCTGTGTAAGTTTTTAAAAAGTTACTACTATTTAATGAATCCTCAAGATGTTTTGTTTCTTGCACTAAACTATAGGCCAAACTCGAGTTTCTCGTCTGGACTTTGTCACCGGCCACATGATCCTGGTTGTCTTCAGCTTGCCTCACCACTGATCTCTTCCTGTGAAGCAGCCAGTGATCTGCCTCCGTCACTGAGGTTGTTGGTGAGGGTCCGTCACTCACACATCAAGAGCTCTTCCATGTCTCAGGGCCTTCAACAAATACAACTGTTCCTTCAACTTGGAAAATTTCCCACAAATTGTTTTCATGGCTGCCTCCTCATTCCTCAGTCATCAGCAGAAATGTCACCTTAGCAGAAAGACTCACCAGGGACACCCTCCTGGTCCCCGCCAGGAATGCGCTACCACACAATTTACTGGATCTTCTAAAAACACCTAAAACTACATGCCTTTGTGTCCGGGTCATTGTCTTTGACCTTTCTCTGTTCTCACTAGGACGTAGGCTTCCTTGAGGACCAGTCCTCTGGTGCATGGTGGGTGGATGTAGTGAAGTATTTGTCTAATGGTTAGTGTTTATCTCATAAAAGGCATGTTAGCAGCTGTCCTCACCCATTCAGCACTATTTTAGCTATACTTAGGAAGTGCTGCTGTTGCATAGCTGTAAAATAGAAAGCTGCAGCAGAAGGGAAGTTCTGTGCCTCCTTGCACACCCCTCGGTCCCAGTGCCCTGGCTGCCAGCCTTTCCTTCACACAGTTTGAGAGTCTGTGCTCTCAGACCCTAGAGCTTGTTGTCAGTCCGGCTCCTGAGTTGTCCCATTCTAGCTCAGATGAGGGAGCCGCCAGAGAGGGCAAGTTGATCTACACATGGTGTGTGGTCCCCTGGGCCTTAAACTTTGTGTTATTTCCTCTGTTTAAAAATAGTATTTCCTGTTGGTGCTGCCTAATTTGGAACAAAACTACTTGTTGGTGAGATGTTAGGGCCACCAGCTTCCAGATTGCTTGCTGTCCAGATGCATAGGGATCCGTCTGTTCTAGCCTGTGGGGAAGCTGGACACTGAGGAGCTGCGAGTGTTCACTGATAAATGTAAAATTTTAATTCCAAGCAAAAAGGGAAAAACATACACTGAAATATCCAGGAAAAAACCAAAGCAAAGGAACCCTCTCAAAATGAACTTAGCCAACCCCTCCTCCTTACAGGAGGCATGAACTCTGCTTTGTTCGGGCCACCGGCCTGTCAACTGTCTCAAGTCTCAGTTCTCACCCACAGAAGACCTTTTCTGCTCAGTTGTTATGTGTCGGTGAGTCACTGGAGACTCATAGCCACCCAACACACAATAGCTCTGAACCCTGCTCTCTCCTGAGCCAGTCTCACTGCCTTTGACACACTGAACTCCTTTGTCCCAGACACTGAGTCCATCCATCCGTCTCATCCAGGGTCTTCCCCTCTTGCACGGTCTCTCCACTCTTCCAAGCATGATGTCCTTCTCCAAGAACTGGCCCCTCCTGGCCACGTGCCCAAAGTATGTGAGACAGAGCCTCAACAATCTCGCCTCTAAGGAGCAACTTGGTTTCACCCTCTCCAGGACAAACACATTTGTTCTTTTGGTGGTTCATGGTGTGTGTGTTCAGCCCTCTTCTCCAGCACCACACCTCAAAGACATCGAACCTTCTTAGTCAACATCCTTCGTAGTTAACATCCTTAACTTATTCCTGGCTGACCTAGGATCTAGCCGCCTCACCTTGCTTTCTGGTTGTCTGGATATGGCTACCTGGAATTATTCTCCCACCAAATCCGCACATAGTAGAGGCATTTTTAAAAAAATAGTAAGGAGAGAAACGGAGGCTGGGCAAACGTTTCCAGATAACTCCTGTAGAGGACCAGGCAGACCACTCAGTCCCTAGAACATGGTGTGATGGGACTGGACGTGCGTAGGAGGACAGTGGATGGGAACTAGCCTCACGTGTGGACACAGAGGGCCTTTTCTCAAGTACAGGAGCCACGCACAGGAGACCAGGACACCAGAGGATCAGTGAGCTGGGTGATTGGAGCCAGGGCTGGTGCGATGACGGAGGAGAGAGGGTTCTAAGCATGAGCGAGGTTGGCGGTAAGAGAGTTGTGGGCTTCACAGCTGCAAGAAAGGAGAGATTTGCTCAGGGTCTCATGGAGCAGTGAGGCTGGGGCTGGCTGGAGCCCATCTCTCCCTTAGGCCCCAGGCTGGGCTGGCTCCGGGCTGCTTCTGTTGATGTAAAAACGACTCATGGGTTTTTGTCTAAATGTGAAGGGGGAGGTGGTGGTGGGGGATAGCAAGTAGATGGTTTCTGAATCTAAGAGAAGTTTACTTTCAGGTAATGATAGTGGAGGGCACCGGGAGGTCTGTGAGAAGCATTTTGAGCATCAACATATTGAGAACATGGGGTGCGCAGACACGGGAAGCAGGTGCAGTAGATGGGAAAGAGTCAAGAGAACGTGAACCCCACTTCGGATGGTTGGTTTCTGCAGTTAGAAAGTACAGCAGGAGGAAGTGTTTTGGTTTGGCTTTTTTTTTTGGTTTTTGTTTCAGTGAAAGTACAGTGAAAACATGTTTCTGAAAAATGAACTTGGACACCAAATGAGATGTGGTTGGAGAGAGTCAAAAAAGGACAGAGTAGCTACTGGTGTGTCGCTGTGCGCACAAGGTAGTTGGAAAGTCCATTATGGTAGAATGCTTTTGATCTGCCCACAAAATACATTATAACGATGGGTACCCAGGATGGGCTTTTTCAGGGGAAAATGAGAAGTGTCACTTTCAGAAGGTGGGTGGGACTTACCACTGTGTCATACGTGGTGGACTGGGGTGGCTCCTGCCCACAAAGAATGCTGTTACTCAGAGAGGGGTGGCTCCTGAGTGCGAGATTCCATGCACCCCCGTGTCAGAGCTGCAGGCTTGGAGGTAGAGAGGACTTCTCACGCGTCTCTGTCGAGTTTTTGGGGCGTGGTGGTGCCGGTGACAGGAGAGGTTTCATGGGAAAAGTGCCCTGGGAATCAGCGTTAGTGCTTTATAGGCAGAAATGGAAGAGCGAAGGAGGTGAGGGCATTTTAGACAGAAAAGACACATGGGCAGGGCCGGGGAGACCGGGAATGTGATCAGGCCTCACCCCCTCTTCAGCTTGTCCGTGGTCATTGCCACATTTCATTGAGTACCACATCCTGATAGTTTTCCATGTCCATAATATATACCTGTTTATTATGACTAATACTTGTATTCAGGTTATTTTCTTTTTAACAGACACAGTTTGACTTAGTTTCCATCCCTGCCATCAAGTAGTGTCATTGGTGGGTTCTTTGTCCTCAGCGGCTCTGGGTCCCCACAGTGGGCCCCTTGGAATGCAGTTGATGTACCTGTGCTGTCATGTGTCCTTTCCATGACCGTGCTCTCCACTCCAAAAAACGATCAGATGCTTCTAAATTTTAATAATACACAGATAGATTAGAAATCCAGCAGGACCGGTCAAGTTCCAGTGCCGTGCTGTGGTCCTCCGCTTGGTCCCTTCCTGGTGATGACAGGGCCCCCTGCTCAGTGGCCTTCCAGGCCTTTTCTTTACATACATACATATGTGCTTAGTGTTATCTAGTTGGGCTATTACAGCTTTTAACATACTATTTTGTCTTTAATTTTTATTTTTTCATTTCTTTTTCTGAGTGGTTTTCCCTAAGATTCAGATCTTTTAAAGTTAATTCTTTTAAAAAATTTAAACAGTACTTTTGATTTAAAAAATCCTCACAGCTCAAACAGGTAATTCTAAAACACTAAGTTAGCCATTCTGACTGCTTGCAGCTCCCATAAACGTCCCCGCTGCCCCAGGAGAACAAGCAGGCAGGCCCTCCCTGGATTGTGGGTCTCCAGCTGCTTCTGTTTGCCTCTCCAGCCTCATCTGCTCCTTCCCTTGGCTACTTCCTGGTAACTCTGAGGACCCTGGCCCCCAGTGATTTGGGCCCCCCTGTAGTACTGGCTCAGGTGGCCCTTCTCCAAGGCTGGTGACCCTGGTCAGTGGTGGCTAACTTGTCCGTCCTGAGGTGGGGTAGATACTGTGGGGACAGGCTGGTGCTCAGGTCAAGAGAACAGGCACAGGGACCCATTGTCTGGGTCCAGGCCTGGCCCTGCCAGTGCCTCGTGGTGCAGCCCTCTCTGCACCTGAGCCTTTGTCTCTGCAGCAGCAGGAGGAAGACACAATACCTGCCTTGGATAGTTGAGGAGAGAAACAGTTCTCAGTGCGTGGGAAGCATTCAGGTCAGGGCCGCCCCCACGATGAGAGCACTCGGTGAGACGCTATCCACGGGCCCATCACAGGACCTGGTCAGGCAGCGTTGAATAAGTGTGTGCATCCTACATAAGGGTAGAGAAGAGAGAGGCAAAATCGGCATGTGAGGAGGATGTGTCGGGGCAGACACGTGTGCCAGGGAGCTGAGGACGAGGTAGAGGGGCTGGGCTGCCCTGTGGAGGGCAGTGGGGCTCTTTGCAGCCTCGGAGCACACTGACTGGCGTCTGAAGATGCCCACTAAGGGACTGGCGTTCCTGGGCGAGGTGTTCAGTCATGTGCAGGAAGCCAGCTGTGTGCAGGGGCAGTAGTCCCGGTGCTGTGAGCAGAGGGTGAGCTGCAGCAGCCTCAGCTCCCATCGCCCAGGGCCCCGCCACCCTCGGACGCAAGAACCGTGTGGGAGATTTCCCAGAGGATCACGTCCCACTCCTTCCTGGCTTTGCTGTGCTACGTGTGTGGGTATGATGGAATGATTAAAAGACGCTTCTGATGAAAAATGCACCCCCACTTTTTTTCTATTTCCAGGCAACGCGACTGTAGAGAAGTTGGAGGACTTCATCAACCACATTAATGGTGTCTTGGAATCCTTGTATATTGAGATAAAGAAAGGAATCACAGAAGATGATGGGAGACCAGTTTATGCTCTGGTAAGTGGGAGACAAGCTGGTTAAGCACACTTGAGAGGTCAGCAGTTGGGTCCCCCACCTCTCTGAGGGTGAAAGAGGAGGCAGTCAGCTTTAATAAAGAGTTCCAGCCCCTGGAGCCTGGTGGGTGCCTCCTCTGTCCACTAGGACCACCCTGAGTAGGAATCCACGCGGGGTTTAAAGTGCAAGACAGAGCCCTCTTGTGGCACTGCTAAGGAAGTACAGCTGAGTGTGCCTGGCATGGGCTCCTTTGTGTGAGGGATTTAGGTGAGGAGGAAAGGAACTGACACTGGTCCCCCTTACCCACACCACCTCTTTTCAGTACAGAGAGCCCTGAGGTTGCAAGTGGTGGTTCCCTTAAACACATGAAGAAATCACGATGCTGAGAAGGGAATGACTGGTTCAGGGTTATTTAAACCAGGGTTATTTAGTTGTCAAGGTCAAGTCCAACCAGAAGTAAGATGCAGGTCCCTTGACCTCAGTGCTTGTTAACAGTAGCCCCATCTTTCCAAGACCTGGCGGTGTGCAGCAGACTTTAGTCCTGACGGTTCCCTGCCATCGTAGGTATCCCTCTGGCTCGTGTCACCCAAGGCCTCACCCCAAATGTATGGACACACGGGGGGTTGAGACCCTTTTGGGCATCCTCAGCTAGGACACCGCTCTTGAGTGTGTCATAGGAGATTGGATGGACTCCTGGGAAGTGGTTGCCCACCCACTTAGAGGCTTCTGCCAGCCAGACCCAGTCTCAGGAAGGACCCTCTAGTCCAAAGGTTATGCCACCAGACACCTGGGGAAATGTTGGGTTAAGCAAGGCACACTGTTTTGGTTGGCATGTAAACAAGTGTCCAGATTTATCTGCCTTTGGAATATACTGCATAAACTTTGGAGCCTTAAAAATCTGTGAGAGGTGGGCCGAGCTGAAGACTCTAACGTGTGTGATATTAAACCGGCTCCAAGTCCATCTCTGTGCCCGTCCTCCCCAGCAGTGCCTGGACATACAGGCATAACGACTTAACAGCGAGCAGTGACTTTCATGCCGGCTTGTTTTTTTAGGTGAATCTTGCAACAACTCCAGTTTCTAAAATGGCATCAGACTTTGCAGAGAATGAACTGGACCTTTTTAGAAAGGCTGTAAGTACAGTGTCGTGTAGTGTCCATCAGCTTGGCTTCTTAGGGGAAACTTCTTCATCATTAGAAATGAAAATTACAATCTTAGAGGGTTGAAATCCTTTTCACCCCAAAACTGGCAGTCAGGTGACTTCTGGAGCAGTCACTAATGGCTGCCTGGGACAAAAGGGCTCTTATAGGTAGCCCTCTGGCAGGTGTCACCTGAGTCCTCATGGCCTCTGATGGCAGTGGGTTGAGTGGTTCGCCTGGGAGACAGAAGGTGCCCTGCATTAGGGCACCAGCATCACGGGGGAGCTTCTTTGTTAGAAAGGCAAAATCCCAGAGAACTAATCAGAATCTATATCTTAATAAGGCTTCCTTGAATAATTTGCATTTTCACAGTTGAGCTGCTCTGATCTACCAGGCTTCTGAACTGTTCTCTCTGCCCTCCTGTCCAATACCTGGCTGACCCTTTGCCTAAGGCAGTGGCTCTCAGCCCTGAGTGCACATTTCGTAACTGGAGTGTTAAAAGTAATTCTGATGTGCTGACTTGAAGCCACATCTGTGGAATCGGATCTCTGCTGAGAGGCCCTGCAATCGGCACTTCGTCCACCTCCCTGGAGGCTGTGATCAGGGCTGAGAAGCAGTGCTCTATGTTGAGGGGTACACTCCTGTGTGAGTGCAGGAATCGTCCTTGCTGTGGGTAGAAGCTTTAGGGTGCTGGCTTTCGGCCCCTCCGGGTGCTGAGTCCACACTGAGTCACTGACTTCCGAGCTGTGTCTCTCCCTTGCTCACTGGGCCTATCAGTAAGGTGCCTGGCATGTGCTCTCTCGTGGTCTCAAATCCTACCTGCCACTCATACCTGATGTCCGTGAAGGAGTAACAAGAGGCGCTGCCTCCTTCCTTCTTTATTCACCCTCTTTTCAGGGAGCGGTGGTGGGAGTCCGCAGGGAGTTGTGCTGCCAGCCCAGAGGCTATGCCTCTGACAGTTCGCCTCCACCAGCGGCTCCATAGGAGGATAGACAGCTCCGCCCTTGTGATTTACAGCCTCTGAAAACCCACTGGAGGGTCTGCTGTGTTGGTTCCTCCTCACTGTCAATGAATTGACACCCCCCCCCCCAAGTTTCCCTTGTTCTGAGAGAAGGTGGGGTTGGGAGGAGAGATTTTTGGACATTAGGTTATTGTGATGCAGTTATGTCCATCGAGTCTTAGGAATTAGACACACTTAGGACTTTGGCTGCATTGATGAAGCGGTTTCCCTGAAGGGTGGAGCCAGTGTTTTCTGCCTGTGATATGAGCGCTCCAGTGTCCAGCCCTCTTGCCAGCAGCTGTCGCATCACCTCTGAGTTCTTTTAGTACACTTGGTAGGTGAACATGGTACCTGCTCTTTTTTTCCAGTTGGAACTGATTATCGACTCAGAATCTGGCTTTGCATCTTCGACAAACATTTTAAACCTGGTCGACCAACTGAAAGGCAAGAAGATGAGGAAGAAGGAAGCTGAGCAAGTGCTGCAGAAATTTGTGCAAAACAAATGGCTCATTGAGGTACTGGGCCTGGCTTCCCACGCTTGGCTTGTCTTCTAGACTGAATGATGTGCTCTTTTCAAGCCTCTCACCTGCTCCCATGCTCTCTCTCTCACCACCACCCCCAACTTCCTACCACTTTACTCAGACGCTCTGCCCAGGTCCTCGTAGCCAGGGTGGCATTGCCAAGACTCATGCCTGGGTTGCCAGGCTCCCAGATTGGAGGCTTTGGTGGTGTGTGGCAGCATAGTGCAGTGGGTCAGGGCACAGTGCACATGCCGGGCCTGTGTCTGAGGCCCTGGGCCCTGTGGCCCCATGCTCGTGTCCATAAGTGGAGGAGAATAGTGTTACCTTCAGACTTGTTGCAGCAAAGGTGAGATCAAGATCCAAACCAGACCTGTTGTCTTCAGGTCCATTCTGACGCGTGGTCGCCCCATGTGTTAGGAGAACAGCTCCGTCGGGCTTTCCGAGCTGCATTCATCTGGGCGCCCATCTCCAGACCTGTCTTTTGTGGCACTGCTGGGTAGCCTCACACAGCTAAACTTCAGCTTCTCAATTATCAACAGGGTTAGGTTCCAAAAGCCAGGTTGTTGCCTGAAAACCAGGAATGACAAGTAACCACGTCAGGTTATAAAAGGGAGGCTGACTGTGTCATTACATCAGTGCCACACCACAGAGAAGCAGGACCTAACTCTCGCCTCTCGACCACGGCATTCCAGATATGTCGCTGATGCACACAGTAGGTGGACAGTAGATGTTTCAGTGTTGTAAATGCAGACTGTCAGGTGGAGAGATGGTCAGTGGAGAGGCAGGGATGGTGTGGTTGGCGGCAGACAGTGATGCCACGTGCTCCTTTCTGGGTACCTGGGACCTGCTGCAGGCGTGCAGGTGGTTGCTGTCATCACTCCTGCTATCAGCATTTCAGAACCTGTGTTCCTGGATTCTTTCATGTAGACATGATCCCTAGGAGCAAAGAGGAAGCACCGAAAAACTTTCTGAGAAGGAAGCGTGGGGCTCTGTGGAGATCTGGGACAGGACCAACTGCAGATGGCTGCCATCCCATGTCAGGGCCTAGTGATTGGGGCAAAGCCACATTTCAGCCCTTTTTCCAAAAAGGAAACACTTGTTCCAAAAAGCCCAAGAGCCAGACACGTTGAGCTGCTTAACTTTTTTTCCCTTCTATTTTTGTCACATTTTACTGTACTCTGTCCCACAAGGGCCTGCGACTGCGCAGGATTCTCCGTCTGTTGGCCTGGAACTTCCTCGGGTGGTCAGACCGTGGCTGGAGGCAGCTGTTGTGGCTGATGTGATTCTGTACTTCCTTTTCAAGGAAGGCTTCTGGGTTGTGGTAGTTAACGGTGGTTTGAGTTACTGATTTGTAAAGGAGGGGGATCCGTACCTGGTGATCGGACCTTACATACTCGGTTCTGCAGGTGCCTGTTAGGAGGAGAAGCAGGGGAGCCGTGGGGGGAGGAAGGAGGAGGGAGAGAGCCATGCTTGCTGAGCGCTGCCCCGTCAGCTCTGCGGGCTCACTCCCGTGTCAGCCACCTGTGCCTTCCGAGGTGCCTGCTGGCCATGATGATGACGCAGCAGCTGGTGGGTTGGAACTGCGTGCCTTTGGGATTGTAGCACAGCTTCTTACCACCAGGCCACCAGAGCTCCCTATACAGAGATGAGCCAATACCAATATGCAAAAAGAAACACGTTGACAATCCCCATGAGTCCGTTCCCGGTACTACCCCTGTAGAGTTCCAGCTCGCCCTTTGCCCCCGCTCTTGTTCAGTGAGCTGTTGTTCACATCACACACACGTCCTGTCACCTTCTGTCTGAGCCCGCAGAGGTTGCTCCTGCGTTAGTGACATTTCCTTCTGCTCCAGGCCTTTCTCTGGTGCTCAGGGAGGCTGGGGACAGGGTGGGAGGACCACAGCTCTGGGATCTGTTGGAATCCAGGCTCCTGTTTTGTTATGGATACATGTATATGAGAAGACACGCTCTTCAGGGGGCGCAGAGGTGATTGACAGCTTGAGCAGGCCTGTGAATGACTGACTGGTCCCTCAGCCTGGTGCCCTCAGAGGGGTGCTTTTTTCTCTCTTTCATTGTCGTCGTTGTGATTGCGTGACTGTACACAGCAGAACACACCATTTTGGCCATTTCTGCGCGTGTATTTCAGTGACATGGATTTGGTTCCAGTGTGGCAGCCACTGTCCCCTGCCTTTTCTGAGCTGTTCCTGCTCCATTAACATACCCTCACTGCCCTCTAAAGTTCCTGTCTGCTTTTCAAGTTGCCCTTGTCAGTTTTCGCCTATATACACAGTTCTTCAAAGAGCATACTGTGAAGGTCAGATTTTCTTCACTAGTTAAGCTAGACTCTTGTTTGCTTTTAAGATGATTTCAGGTCCATCCCAGACCAGCAGAGGCTCCGTCTGCTCTTTCTATTCCTGCTTCTCTGCTGCTTCAGTTGACATAGAGAGCATGTGCTGTGCCTTGGCTGGCGTGCAAGCTTTCAAGATTCCCCCCAGGTGCCCAGAACTATGCAAGAGCAAGAACTAGGAAGTAGAGGAGAAATACTAGAAATTCTGTCAGGCCCTTTAACTCGATTATCCCATGAAACTGTGGCCCTAAACCTCCGACTTGGGCTGGGCTCTCGAGCCATACCAGCCTCCAAACCAAGGAACCAAATTGCAGGAGATGTTTTGTTTCACATAGCAGCCTCTGCAGACTGTTTGTTTGAGACTTTGTTGTACATCATTGGCTTTTGCCAATCAACTTTTTATAGGTGAACAACTTCTTGATAGGCTTTACAGTAAGCTGTTGCCAGCTCTACTCTTAAGTCAGTAAGACATTTCTGTCACCATAAACTCAAAACTCAGTCCTCCGTCAGTAATAAACCCCCTTTCCTCTTCTCTCCAGTCCTGAGTAACCACTGTTCTACTTTGGTCTCTCAACATTCGCCTTTGTAACGCATGCCGTCATGTAAGATTCGTCCTTCTGGGACTGACTGAGTTCATTCAGCATGATGTTACCTAACTCCATCCTTCCCGCTGGCTGAGTCGTGTTCTGTTGTGTGTAACACTGTCTGTTCTGTTGATGGGCATTTAGGTGGTTTCCACCTTTTGGCTATTATAAATAGTGCTGTGGTGAATACTGGTGTACAAGTCTCCGTTTGAGTATCTGCTGTCAAGTCTTTTGGGTATATACCTAGGAATGACATTTCTGGGTCTTTGATTAGTTCTACTTTAAGGTTTTTGAGGAACTGCCGCACTGTTTTCCTTAACAGCTGGACTATTTTGCATTCCCACTAGAATGGACATGGGTTTCTATTCCCCCATATCCTTTCCAACCGTTGTCATTTTCTGGGTTTTTGCTTTGTTTAACCTAAGCCATTCTCATTTGTTTGAAGTGGTAGGTCCCTGGATTTATTTTTTAAACATGTGACTTTTTAATATTGTGTATTATATTTATACACACACACACACACGTTGTTGTTGTTATGTGCCGTCGAGTTGCTTGCGACTCATAGCGACCCTATGTACAACAGCCCTAAACTCTTCTCTGTCCTGTGTCTGTCTGTCTGTCTGTCTGTCTATCTATCTATCTATCTATCTATATCAGTGAATCAGTAATTTTCAAATGACTAGTATATAAACTTACAGAGTAGTGCATATAAAAGATTTCTGAAAGTGTAAAACATACCACTAGATTTTAAGGTAACAGTGTATATAAAAATTCACTATAGTAGTTTGTGTTGTGTTGGTTTTTTTTAAAAAATTCTCCATAATACTTCTCCCTTAAGAAACTTCAATTTGTCAAGTTTGGTGCAATAGCAAAGAAAGATATCTACAATTATCTGAGAAAACCGATAAAAATACTCTCTACTTTTCCAACTACATGTTTGTATGAAGCTATATTTTCTTGATATGCTTCAACCAAAACAATATCTCAGAAGAGATTGGAGACAGAAGCAAATGAGAATCTGCTTTCTGTTAAGCCAGACATCTTCAGATTTGCACACACACAACTATCAATTTAGTCACTGTTTTTGTATTCTAAAATGAAATTATTTTTAAGATGTTCTCATGTTAACTTTTTTATGGCTTTATTATTTTCTCTTTTAGGTTTTATTGAGTTTTTGGCAACAGTGCACATGGGAAGTTAGGTCTGCATTTGAGTTTCCTCAGAACTTGTTCTGTGACATTTGCTGTGTTCATCACAGCATGTGGTCATTCTCTTGTTCCTTTCCAGTACTCTAGTTTCCTTGGTTTCTTCATCTCGTTTCCAGGACATCTTTGCTGCTGAGGCATTATTGATGTTCTGATCTCATGGTGATGGTTTTTATGTGGGACTCCCATCCTACGTGAGTCCTGGTGACCTTAGATGAGAGGCTCAGTTCTAGGTTTAAAGTGTGTATAGAGCAGTTGTCTCAGGAGACTCTTTATTCTCTCCTCTTCCCCTCCCCCCCCCACCTCTTCTTTTTAATAAGAATTTGAGTTTAGCTCCCTATTTCTCTCCCATTCTATCCAGGACCAGTTACTGTGACCATGGCCAGAGCAGTCCATAGTGGCAGCTGGGCACTGTCTAGCTCACTAGCTCAGGTCCTGGGAGGATGAGGTGGTGGTTCATACAGACTCGTGTCTTCTCAGAGCTTTTGGGTCCTTCCTGTTTCGCTCGTGGTGAGTAGGTCACCCGTGGCTGTGTTAGAGGGCAGCGCACAAGCTGCTGAGACCCCATGTGCTCCTCCCTTCACGAGGGTGTGGGTGGTGACCTTCTGGAAGGATGATCTCATGAGGCTGGTCCTACACCTGTGAGCCCAGCAGGTCCGGTTTGGAGGACACTTGTTCTGTGTGAGGAGTACTTGTACTTGCGCCTTCAGTGAATGTACGTGGCTGCATCTGCACATTTTAGTTCCCTGTCTCTGCACGTACTTCTCGGAGCCCTGGTGGCACAGTCTGCAGAGCTGTACGGCCGCCTCACGGGGGCGCCTCTGGTGGTGTGACTGCACAGCAGCAGCCCTGACGAAGAGGCTGCCAGTCTCCTGCCGTGGGATTTGCAGCCTCTGAAAAGCAGCTGCAGGCTCCGCTCTCAGGGAGCTCGGACTTGATCTCCGGGAGCTCAGACTTGATACAGTGGGTTTTGGTTTTTTAAAGTTTTTCGGCGTTTGTGCTATTGTTGCTGTATTAGCTAATCGACGGTTAAAACTAGGCCTGACAGCATTGCCCCTGCATTTTCTTCTAAGAATTTTGTTTTCATTTGTACCTTTAGGTCTTTTATCCATTTTGCATTTGTTTTTGTGGATAGTGTGATGTTGTTACTGAACTGTGATGGACAGTTGTGGGCTGAGGTTTTGCCATCTGGATTGGGTCTCCCTGCCTCTTTCCTTAAACTTGGTGACGGAGTTGGCTGTGGCAGTTACTCTTTTTATGCACTCTGGGTTCTTCCTGGGTTTTCAGGCTGCAGTGTATGTGCACTGTGTTCTGATGAGGAACCAGGAGCCTGGCTTCTTCTGGAGGCCCCACACCCACTGTGGTCTGAGGTGCTTCTGCTCTCATTGGACTCGTTTACAGCATCACCTCTGGGGTCAGGTGGGCAGGTTTACAGGGCTGACTGGGTGTCTGGTGTGGTCATCTTGGGGAGTGTGGAGGGCACACTGGAGCAGGGTGGGGGGAATAGGCACTCTGGGGAGGGCTTCTTGGATTTGAACCTTCTGGAAACCACTGTGTCCTCGTCTGTGGAAGGCAGTGAGCATGCTGTCTTACTCGTGGGCTGCTGTGCAGGTTCAGTGGTCCGGGTTTGGGAGGCACAAGCTGATGTGGACAAAGTGGAGGCTGTCACCGTCACTTCCTTTTAGGTCTTTGTCTGAGCCGTCCCTGCCAAGGCTCTGCCATGGAGAGATTACGGACACCTCCTGGCTGGGCCTGGGAACCTGCAGAGTGAAGGATGTCAGAGTTGGTGCTGCCTGGGGCTTGAGCTGGGTTAGTGCAGAGGGAAGGGCCTGGGGAGAACCCTGAGCAGGGACAGGCTTAGCCTGTCCGTGACCTGACATGCTGTCTCCCATCGCTATCCCTGCAGAAAGACGGGGAGTTCACGCTGCACAGTCGGGCGATCCTCGAGATGGAGCAGTACATCCGGGAGACCTTCCCTGACAGTGTGAAGATGTGCAACATCTGCCACGGTATCCTTATCCAGGTACCGTGAACCGGTGCGCGGGGCTCTTCACAGACACTGCCCAGAGCTGGTCTGGCCCAGAACTAAGACGCTGCTGAAATGTCTTCTGTGTGAGCAGAGAGGGCATCTCCACGGACGGACGGCTGAGGATGCCACTCTGTGCTGCCCACACGCTGCACCCTGCTCCCTCCCGGCTTCCTCCTGCTCTAGTCCGTGGTTCTTTCTGTGGTTTATTTTTCATCAGAAAGACTCCCTCGAGTCATTCATAACCAGTTACCTGGTGCCCACTGTTCTGTGGTGGCTTTTCTTTGGCTGCTTATTCTGCATGCTTATCCCTGTGTGAGACTTCATGACCACTGGACTCGTGCTGCATGCTGGGATCTGCTCTGGCTTTTTGGTAGTTGAAATGCTGTTGTGCTACAGCCTCTTTGCACATCAGTCTCTGCTCACCTGTTGATTATTCCTGAGTGGAGCCTCTGGATGTGGAGTTTCTAGGGCAGAGGGTGCACATTGTTTTAAGCCTTCGGCCTGTATGGCTAACCTACCTCCACCTGCAGGTCTGCGCATGCAAGGCCCCCACATGCGGAGCCCGAGAGCGTCTCTGGTGGTCACCTTGCTCTGCTGGGTGGCCACCTGATGTGATGTCCTTGGCCTTGAGTCTTCAGCTTTTTCTGAGTAGGCTGCCTGCATTAACTTGTTCAGAAGTCTTTGATGAAGGACTCTGGGATTCTATCACTTTCGGACATGGAAGATAAAAATATATATAGTCTGCTACAGGTTTCCTTAGCAGCTTCCTAAAGGCCTGTGGGACTTGGAGGAGTGAGGCGGCAGACTGCAGCCATAGAGGAGTGCGGTGACTTGCAGTCGGCCTCTTTTTGTTTCAGGGCCAGAGCTGTGAAACCTGTGGGATCAGAATGCATTTACCTTGCGTGGCCAAGTATTTCCAGTCCATTACTGAACCACACTGCCCCCACTGCAACGACTACTGGCCCCACGAGATACCAGGTTCGTAGCCCGCATCTCATCCCAGCCAGACATGGAGATGCACGTGGAGGCAGGCAGCTCGGGTGGGTTTCACAGGCTCTGGGGCCACCTGCCTGCGCATTTCCAGGGGGCTTCCCTGGACCAGGAGAAACTGCCAGGTGTGCTCAGCCTCTGGCCTAGAGGTCCCCTGTGCCAGCCATCTCAGGAGTGACGAGAGGCCGTGTCCACAGCACCTGCGTTTGTTGATAATGTACACAGGGGCTGACTCGGCCCGCCTGCCAGGGTGGGCACAGCGCCCTGGGGCTTGGGGAAGGTTGCTTTGGCCATAGTTGCTTGCCGTTCACAGCATCTGTCTGGGCTGTTTTGTTTACAGAGGTCTTCAACCCTGAGAAGGAGGAGGAGGAGGAGGAGGAGGAGGCGGCGGTGGCTGGTGTCTCCAAAGCCAACCGAAAGTCTGTGCGATCCCGGCAGCATTAGCAGCCCCCATGCCGTGACTCCGGCCTTTGGGAAGATCATGGGACAGCCTTCCAGGGAAGAGAGGGAGTCAGGCGTACACGTCCCAAAAGCTCTTTATGTTCACTTATTAACAAATAAAACTACACAAATTAATTGCTGTGGCCTCCACCTGTAGTCTGGGCCTGTCTCTACATTTTGTGTCATGGCACTTCCTGTTTTGGGTTCCGATGAGAACGTGGAAGCCCTGGTTTGGGTTCTGAGCAGGTGACAACAGCAGAGCTCCCTCTACGTGACAGTGCCTGAGCCACTGGTGCCCAGGGCAGCCTGCAGTCCTCGCTCAGCCAGGGTGACTCCGTTTCAGTGCCCAGCTCTGGTCAGTGATCCCATCAAGACCTGGCCAGCTCTCAGCCTGGACCTGTGAACCCCAGCCTTGGTACCCTATCCCTTGAATCTGGACTCTCCCATGCCCAGGGCGCAGCAGTCCTGATAGATACGAGGGCTGCGGGCTTGACTGGGCTTGACTTGGGCTTCCTCCCCGGATCCCTTCACTTCCTCTCCCCTGAGTGGCAACTCTGTCCATCCATCTGCTCCCACAAGAGCCGGACACACAGCTTAGATGCCGCCTCCTCCTGCATCAAGTCAGCTACCAAATCCAGTCCAGTTCCCTGGTCAAGTGCCCTGCCCTCCCCCGCCTCCTTTCTTTTTCTTTCTCATCCCTTCTTTTTCTTCTCTTTAGCTTCCCCCACTTCCTTTTTCCTCCCTCCTTTCTAGTCTTCTTCTTTCTTTTTGTGCCCCTGCAGAGTTTCAGTTTTTCTGTTGACGCTTGTTTTGTTTTCTTTTTTGCTCCTGTCTGGCAATAGATGATGACAGTGACCACACCTCCCAGCCACACACACCCTTCCTGTAGCTTCACTCACTGGGCAAGTGCAAACACTGGCACCTGTACCCCCTGGGATTGCAGTGCAGCTTCTTGCCACTTATTTTTTTTAATTATTTTGTTTGTGTGTACTGTCAAATCGGCTCCTGTACCCCTTGATTAACAGTAGACCACAACCAACATCATACCAGATGCCCCTCAGCTCTGCACACACGGTGAATGGAGAACTGCCTAAGCATGTCCCTGTCATCCCCTGAAGATCAGGAGGTGAAAGACTGAGAATTGACACACGAGTGAGTGATGGACCATCACCTTGCCCAGTCAGATACCAAAACAGAATAATAAAAGACAACTTTAACATAGTGTCTCAAAGGCAACAGACAACTTCAAATCACATTAAAAAAAAAAAAGACAAAGGGGCATAAACAAGTGACCAAAATACAGAGCTGGAAAAGAAAAAAAAAAAAAACAAACCACAATGAAAATTTGAATGGAAAAGAACTTCCAAAACATTATGAAAGAGGAAAAGATACACATTCTAGAAGTTCCACAAACTCCAAACAGGCTAGACTCCAAAAGAAAATCACCAAGATGTTATAATGATTCCAACTTTCTAAAATCAGACAGAAGACGCAAGAAGCTCAGGAAAAAGCACGGTCACCCACAAAAGAGAATTCGGAAACTTCTGATTCCTTAGCCAAAAACATGTAGACAAGAAGGCAACGAGATGATGCAAACCTTTGGAAGGGAACAAAAACCCCAACCCTGCTAACCAAAAACTATATTATGCAGCAAAGCTGTCCCACAAACATGATGAAGAAACTGGGACAGTTCCAGGTAAAAGAAAAAATTGCAAAAACTACACTAACAACAGCAGACAAGACCCTGAAATGAACTCACGTGACAACATCATTTAGAAACCAACCTAGACATAAACAGCCAAAGAGAAACTTAAGATATGAAAATAAGGAACCCGGGACATCAGTCTATAAATGACACAACTGTTGTTATGTGCCATCGAGTCGCTTGTGACTCATAGCGACCCTATGTACAAGAGCTCTAAACTCCGTTCTATTCTGTGCCAACCTAGCCATCTCAAACGCACTCATTCCCACCACTCCAGTCACAGAATCGATCCATTTCATTGAAGGTCTTCCTCTCCTGCACTGTCCCTCCACTCTGCCAAACATGATGTCCCTCTCCAAGGACCAGTCCCTCTTTGCAACATGCCCAAAATATGTCAGATGAAGCTTCAGAATCCTTGACTCCAAGGAACAATCCAGCTTCACCTTCTCCAGGACAAACCTGTTTGTTCTAGCAGTCCATGGCATATTCAACACTCTTCTCCAGCACCACAGCTCAAAGACATCAAATAACACAACTACAAAACACAAAAAGAAATAATGCAGTTACAAGGCACAAGATGAACATACAAAAGTAACAACTCTGAAAAGGAAATAAGGGAAACAATATAACAATAGTCACTTAGACGATTATATACTTAGGAATAAATCTAACCACAGATAGACTTATACAAAGAAGATGACACAAATGGAAGAATGTACCAGGCCGATAGACTGGGAGACTTAACACTGTGAAAAATGCCAATACTTCTGAAAGCAATCCACAAACACAGTGCAATCCTCAAGTAGAGCGCATCACCATCCTTCAAAGATAAGGAGAAACAAAAGACAAACTGCATTAGGTAAATCTGCTTTCCAGAGTACTGAGAAGCAACGATGTCAGTCTAGAGACTAAGGTGCACCTGATCCAGGCCATGGTCTTCCCAATTACTTGCTATGCATCAGAGAGATGGAAAATGACTAAGGATGACAGAAGAAAAATTGATGCCTTTGAGTTATGGTGCTGGAGAAAAGTACTGAACATACTATGGACCACCAAGAAAACAAATAGGTCTGTCTTGGAGAGGGTGAAACCATGTTTCTCCTGCGAGGCTAGGATTCTGAAGTTTGGTCTCACATACTTTGGGCACATGGCCAAGAGGGACCAATCCTTGGAGAAGGACATCATACTTGGAAAGGTGGAGGAAAAGTTCAGGAGAAGACCCCAGATGAAATGAATTATTAATACAGTAAGTAGAGCATCGGGGGTAGGTGTGTTGGAGTCAGTGAGACTGGCTCAGACCAGGCCAGGCTTCAAAGCTGTTGTACATAGGGTAACTGTGAGTCACAGGCAACCTGACGGCACATAACAATTATTTTTTATAGAAAAGAAAGAGATCCTGAATTCTAACAAAATTCCACTACTAAAGAAGAAAAAGGCCTTACCCTTTCCCATCTCAAAATCTATCACACAGACATAAGAATCAAACAATGTGATCAAACACCCCCACGTCCCCTGCTGCCCCTGCCAACAACAGGACAGCCTGGCACTAGTACAAAGATAGACGTGTAATAATGAAACAGAGTGGGGAACCCAGAAGTAAATGCATCTACCTATAGAAAGCTAGTCTCTGACAAAAACCATGAAACCCATTTAGGGAATCGAGAGCCCCTTTAACAAATGATGCTGGCAAAACTGGATAGTTGCAGAGAAATGAAACACAATCCATACCTCACAGGATCTACAAAAACTAAGAGTATGGATCAAGGGCCTAAGTGTAAAAATGGATTATAAAGATGACCAAAGAAAAACGAGCCCAGACAAGGTCCCTAGTCTATCACATAAGTAGACTATCAACCAAAATTGGTTAAGTAGCAGAGAATGAAATCCTCATGTGCATCAAAAGACTTCTCCAAAAGAGTAGAAAGAGAACCTACAGGTTCAGGAAAAATAGCTGACAAAAACCAAGGGAATAAGCATTGAAATGTGTAAAAAACTCTAGCATGTCACTAAGAAAAAACCCAATTACACAATGAGCAGAAGACATGAAGAGACACTTCAAAAATGACACTGAGAGGGCCAACAAGCACATGCAAGAATGCTTGATATCATTCACTAGTTAAAGGTAAAACAAAGAGAGATTATCTCACCCCAGAAACAACAGTGAGGTTTAGTAAGAAAACAAGAAACGCTGGAGCGGGGTGTGGAGACATGGGAGCTCTCACTGCTGCTGAGACTGAAACTGGTGCAACTATTTTAGAAAGCAGTTTGGCACTTTCTTTAAGAGTTGGATACAGAAATACCCTTTGAGACAGCAACTCCCCTCCATGTATGTTACACAAGAGCTGTGACATGAACAGACAGTTGTAGCATTATTTATGAGAGCAAAACACTGAAACAATCCAAGAGTGTGTCTACCAATGGATTGATGACGGACTACTAAAATAATACGGCAATGAAGAATTTGTGAAACGTAGCATGTGGTTATGTACCGCTGAGCGGAACTGAGTCATAGTGGACCCTCCAGCAGGTTTTCAGAGGCAGTAAGTCGCATAGGAGGAAATGGCCCATCTTTTTCCTGCAGAGCATCTGGTGGATTCAAACCATGTTCCTTTGGGTTGGCAGTGCAACGCCTTACCATTAAGCCACCGTTCTTTCTGTTGTGTCCTTTGGTTAAGACGTCCCTTCCCTCTAATGCCCTGGCCCTGGGCAGTGAAGGCCGCTTCAGGTGCAGGCTTGGGCCAGCCTGTCTCTCAGTCTCAGGCCAGTTAGGACCACCAGAAGCTGACTGAGAAGCTCAGGTCCAGGGCCCGCACGTAGTGCCAGTACTTGACCGGGATGAACAGCATCTCGCCGGGAGAGAGGATGCAGGACAGGGACAGGGCCTCGGCAAACTTGGGGAACTTCTCCAAGTTGGGGTTCTCCACATCCACCTGCAGAAACAACCCAAGGCATCAGAAACTCCGGCCTGAGTGGCCTGGGGTGGGGGCTCTCTGCCACAGCAGGTCCCAGGGCCTACCTGGCTCGTGTTGTGGAGAAGGTGGGAGTCATGAGGGTACAACGCTTCCGAGTCCTGCGGGGAATACAGCTGGATGTATTTCCTCCCCATCACCTGGGAAGACAGAGACCCCGTGGTCAGCTGGGGGTTTACCCTGGATGGCAGCCTCTCTGCCCTCCCCCCACCCCCCAGCCAACTGCAGTCCTGGGACCCCGCTCTGTCCTCTCCCCGCCATTCACTTCTGCTCCGGGGCCCACCCCATGTGTGAGAGAGGTTAGAGTTGTACGGTCCTCCTCCAAAGAGCATGACTCGATGGAATCCTTGTTATTAAAAACAATCAAGACACTGACTGTGCCCTTTAACAACTTTGTGTGAATCCACTTCATCTTTAAAAGAAGACTCTACAAGGGAGTTTATCATCACAGCCATTTTACAGATGAGCAAACTGAGGCACAGAGGTTAAGGGAGTTGCCTGACTCACAGCTGAAATGTGACAGACAGCGCTGGTGTTCACTCCAGGCAGTTGAAGAACCCCAGGTGGGCGTGTCTTTGAACTGCTCAGCTTGGCTTTGGGTGCGTGCCATCGAGTCGGAACCCACTCAGAGCTGACCCTCCAGTGGGTTTTCAGAGGCAGTAAATTGCTCAGGAGACTGCCTACCTTTTCCCCACGGAATAGCTGGTGGATTTGAACCACATGCCTTTGGGATGGCAGTGCAGCTCCTTACCACTAGGCCACCAGAGCTCCCCAGCTTGGCTACGCAAATGTTCTTCTGTATCTCTGACTGACACACACGTACACACTCTCCCCCTTGATCTTAGGAAGAACTCTCCTTCCCCTCACAGTCCCTCACTTCTTTCCTTAGCTGGAGGCTGGCCTGGCTCTGATGGGAGTAGTATGAGAACAGGACAGAGTCTGGGCTTTGGGTACAGATGCTGGTCCCTCCTCACTGGGCTCTCGGAGACAGTGGCCCCAAGACCAGGAGAATCAGGCCTAGAAGCAGCCCTGCAAGGGAGAGGGCTTCACCATGGGCCTGGCACCTGTGACCAGGCTCCTGGCCGGGCCGGGAACAGCTCTCACCTGGACCAGGAAGTTCTGCTGGGGATCCTGATGAAGTGGGGAGACAGTTCCTTGGGGACCAAACCAGGCATTAACGGTGATCTCATCCTCCTCTCCGCTGCCCAGGCAACAGTAATCGGGGATGGTGATGTCCTGCTTCAGTTCTGGGATCTGTGGGTGTCAGGGCAGAAGGAGCAGGTCAGAGACCAGGCCAGGCTGCTTCTGCTTCCGGGTGGAACACCTTCAATTCACTCTAGGAATGGCGGCCAGAATGATCCCAGAGATGTTGAGGACCCTCCAAAGGCTCCTACCACATGAAGACCCGCCTCTTAATCCAAACCCTGCCCGTGTCTCAGGCTTGCCTGCTCCTTCCTCCTCCACTCGCCCTCCCGGCCATATGCACACTCACTGTCCCCACACCTTCGACCTTCTGCCTAAGGACTACAGTTCATCCTTCTGGTCACCACTTACACGTCACCCTTCACAGACACCTTCCCTGGCCACCCTGGCCACCCTCGCCAACGGCTCCCAAACCTCTAGGTCGCCTTCCCTCTCACGCTCCTTGATGTCTGATGGGGTTTGCTCTTGAGATCCATTCGGGAAGGGAGTGCACCTGCCTCCCTTACTCACATGTTCCTGGGGCCCAGCACACCGGCTGGTGGAGAGAGAGGACTCCGAGGCCCCCCCCCCCGTGCTAAGGAGAGCTCTCCCAGCATGCATCTGGTCGGGGCCCAGCCACCTGCTGCCACGGGCAGACGTGACCCAGTGATGGGGGGACAGGGAGAGGCAGATGGAAAAGCTACCTCTGGAATCATCCCAACAGGAGCCCCTCTCTATTCTCTTATTTTACCCTGTTACTCAGACACCTCTAAAAATGTGCAACAAGCCAATTACCAGCAGACTTCACCTTCTCTGGTTTTATGTGCATTTAGAAACAAAGTCCATTTTTCTCATTTGCTGACTGTGTACACATAACAGATGATTAGGAAACTACAGAAAAGAGAAGGGGGAAGAAAACCCCACCCCTCACCATGCAACCACCCACAAACAACCTCTGTTAAGTCTTCAGTGACGTTTCTCCCGTCCTCTAAAATATGGTTAAAACTCAAGTCTTCAGACAATTACGTGTTCTGGTCTACTCTCACCACATGATGGCAATCTCATGTAAGGCAGCCTCTTCCGGGCATCCTGTGGTCACTGGGCCGCTGAGAGGACGCCCCCAGGACCCTGGGAACAGGGAGAGCCTGACCCCGTTGACCTGGGTAGGCCTGAGCTGTGGTGAGGCTGATGCAGGTCGTGCCGATGCACGCGGTGGTGGTGATTGGGGGGTGGTGGTGGTGAGGTGATGGGGGTGGTGGTGGGGGTGGTGGGGTGGCTCTTGAACTCTTCCTGTTCTGTCCCCAAGTGGCTGGCCTGGGCTTGAGGAGCAGTGCTGGTTCCTGTGAGAGCATCTCTGGCCTCTCCTCTCTCTCCATAAGCACCAACCTTGCAAGTTTCCTGGTGTGCTTGTTAGATTCTTCCAGAAATAGCACCACATATAGAAAAAGATTTGATGCCTTTGAGCTGTGGTGCTGGAAAGGAGTACTGAATATACCATGGACTGCTAGGAGAACAAACAGATCCATCCTGGAGACGGTGAAACCAGGCTGCTCCTTGAAGACAAGGATTCCGAAGCTCCGTCTGACATAGTTTGGGCTTGGTGCTAAGAGGAACTTGTCCTTAGAGAGGGACGTCATGCTTGGAAGGGTAGAGGGACAGCACAGGAGAGGAAGACCCTTGATGAGATGGATTGACTCAGTGACTGACGTAATGGGGGGTAGGTATGTCAGAGACAATAAAGTTGGTTCAAGATAGAGCAGGGTTCAGGGCTGTTGTACAAAGGATTGCTATGAGTCACAAGTGACTCGACAGCACAACAACAACAACATCTGGGAACTGTCTGCTCACACACCTCCCACAGTTCACCGACGCCTCACAGATAAAACCCAAGCTCCTAGACGGGCCTTCAAGGCTCTTCACAGTTTGGCCCAGCCCCCTTCTTCTACCTCACCCTGGCTTTGCTCTTTGAGGCAGACTCTCCTAGGTGGTTGCAGTGCCCAGCACACGGCACTTGTCCCTTCAGTGCATGTCTCAGGTATAAAATCCTCTCAACGAAGAGCTCTCCTGCCCTCACCTTGCTGAGTTCCACTCCACTGTCCTGGCTCCAGTCAAGTTCTCCAGCCTTCAACACGTACATCCTTGACACTGACGGTGTCCAGAGAAACCACACCTGGCCTCGGCCTACCAGAAGTGCCCCATCTAGTAATGGAGACGGGTGCACCAGCAGACTCCTGAAAAAAGGCCAGTATGAGGCCAGCCCTAAAACTTGGGGTGTCCTGATGAGGCACTGACCTTCCCTTTCCGGGTCAAGTCAGAGCCTCTTCCCCATTCCCAGTCCCCTAGGGCCTGCTTCCTCAGTCCTGACCACACGGGGACTTCTGACTTGGGTCTCTCTCTGCTGCTCTGCCTGTGGCTGCCACCCTGACCCATGAGGGAGCCGCTCCTTGCCCTGTCTCCTCACGCCAGTGGCCTCACCGGGCCTACTACCTCCTGTTGGTAAGGTGGGAACGCGGTGAGTCCCACAGGCTCCTCAGCCCTCTTCAGAAGAGCAGCCCGGAACGGCGGCATCAGACCCTCTCCTGCCCTGAGTCAGAGTCCAGGAGGGAGACAGGACAAAGGAAGAAGCTGACGGAAAGGGAAGCGTGGGCTCCAGACTCACCTGGTCAAAGAGCTGGTGCTGAGCAAGGTACCCGACGTCCTTTGGCTAATGCAGGGAGAGAACGCAGAGGTGAGACGAAGGCCAGAGAGCTGGAGAGGACCCCCTGACTGGCTGCCCTCAGCTCCTGGCACCCACAACTGTCCACTGCGCAGGGCCACCTCCTGCACCCAGTCCTGTATCGCTCGCCTCCTCGTGCCCCACGGACTTACTTCCTGGGCTTAGGGATTCACCGCTCAGGAGCAGCAATGGCTGAGGGTCTGCTGTATTTGTACCACGAATGACCAGCTGCCCTAAGTGTTACTCTTCCTTCCCCTAAAGCCCCCGAGGCTGTCCCCACAAGTGAAAATCGAAGGCGCTCATATAACATGCGAGAATTTAAAAGAAACGCAGGCTTGCGCTATATGCCTTACCTTGAAGCCTGCCTTTTCATTTGGGGGTGCATCATACCTACCTCTTCAGGTTAATCTGTGCTCACTCAGTTCACTTCTTCCTTCATAGCCAGGTAACATTGCACAGATGGGTTATACATAATTATATATAATAATTTCAACCATTCCTCTGTTGGTAGCCCTTCAAATCGTTCTGCTGAATGCTTTGTTACTATTTCACTATTCATCCTTGTATTTTGTGACACAGGCTTTCAAATACAGAACTGCTGAGTCAAAAAGCATCCTAATTTTTGCCAGCTTCTGCCAGGTTATTTGCCCAAATGTGACACCATTTCTATTCCTAGCTGTGATTAGTGTGCCCAGATTTTCTATCTTTGTCAGGGCAGGACTAGGTATCGTCACACTATAAAATATTTTGCCAGTCGGATGTGCAGAGAGGTCAGTCCTCTTCACCCTTGTACATGGGCCCTGCTAATCTTTTATTGTTCCAATTTTAGTACATGTGCTGCCGAAGTGAGCACAAAAAGGCCAGTACTTTTCAACCTGAGCTCCAGGGGTTTCGATTGATGCTGGCGGGCTCCTGGGATGGTCACCCGGGGCAGAACAGATGAGACTTAAGAGATCAGCCCTTCCCTGATCCCAGCCACAGCTGAGCTTGCTTTGGTCTCGGAGCCTGAAGCTATCACTGTGTATATGTGCAAGTGTCCTGAATTCCCCGAGTTCCTGTGTCCATCTATCTTTCTCCTCCACTCTGGATCCTTCTCTTAACCAATGCTATCGAGCATTTGCCACATTGGGCCCTGTGCCTCTCTGCCTGCCTCCCGGATCTCCTGGGTGAGAGGCCCTCGTGAGCTCACGTCAGCCAAGCATCAAGCACACCATGCTAAAAGCTTCCTCTCTGTGCATGACCTCACAGCATCACTGTGAAGTAGGTGCTGTTCATTTCCCAAGTCAGGGAACTGAGGGTTCAAGAGGTGAAATAACCACCCAAGGCCACAAAGCGGGTGAGGGCAGAGCAAGGAGGTGGCTCTCCTCTGACTAATCCAAAGCCTGGACCGGTCTGTGGACCAGTCCCAGCTCCGCCTCTCTGTGCTGCAAACCAGGCTTCCCTCCAGCTGTGGGCACTGCTGCAGGCTTCTCAGCCGGTTAATCCTGCCAGCACAGCAGGGGATGACAACATGATGACGCAGGAGCTTCCCCGTCCAGGCCTCAGGTGACAGTGACCTGAGTACACAACAAGAATATGGACAAAGAACCCCAGCTAATAGGCTGACATGGAACCAGATCCCACCTGTCCTGACGGCATCCTACGGACCTGACTCAGTTAGCTAAGCTAACTCCAGCGCCTCCCATTGCTGCTCTGGAGTCTTTCTGTGCAAACACTCACTCCCAGGAGACATGTCAGAGCCACGTACCTCATCCACGATGTATTTGCTGATGAACTCGCTGACCGTCATGAGTGTCTGGGACCACTCTTCATCCGTGTACCTGGAACCCACTTCCACAGGGACGGTTCGACAGCCAGCGATTTCCTGGATATATTCCAAACTAGGGGGAAAACCAGTTACTGTTATTATCATGGGCACCACCAGTTACAGGTCCTCTGTGCTAAGTGCGCCTGACAGTGTGCATTCCCAGTTAATCCTCACCAAACCCCCATGAGGGAGGGGCCGCCGGAGCCCCATTCACGGGCAGAAAGTGCAGGCAGAGGCGAGGGGGCAGGCCAGGCTCACTCAGCTAGGACAGGGTACCATGAAGCCATGCCCTCCGGCTTGCTGACCCTCCAGCTGCCATTTCAGTCCTCCGCTGATCTCTCTCTTTGTACATCTTACACCAAGCAGAGAAATAATCGTGGCGTAATAACTGGAGGACAGAGCAGCAAGGTGATGCAGTTCCTGGTCTCAGAGCTCCAGCGGCCTGGAACAGACTCCGGACTCTGTTATACGCCAACGACTTTCAGGAAGTTACTTCACCTCTCTTAGCCCGTCTCTCCTCTATAAAATGAGAACGATGCAGAAATGGCTGGTCTTCCTGGGTGCTGCTGAGCTGAGTGTGACTCATGGTGAGGCTACGAAAGGACCGGAACCTGGTGCTATGCTGTGCCATCCTCGTCATCTCTGACCTACTCCAGCCTATTGTCAGCCGCTGTGTCAATCCAGCCCATCGAAGGCCTTACTCTCTTTCCCTTCCGGACAGGTGTCCCTTTCCAAGGACTCGCTCTCCCCTCCTGACAACACACTCGAAGTGTGTGTGACGACATTTTCACCATCTTTGTCTCTAAGGAGCGCCGTGGTCACACCTCCCCTCCCTCACCCCCCACAAAAATTAGGGAGAATAAGACGAGCCCTCAGGGGGGCGCTGAGGGAAGCCAGTAACTAACATCTGCTCTGACGCAGCGCCTCAGTCAAAATCTCTCCCCACATGCTTCCTGCAAACCCACCACCAGGAGGACCGGCCGACCAACTGGGTCAACCTTTTTAAAAATTTAGCAGAGCAATTTATATTCAACCTCAATACATGAAAATCCACTTTTCTGTGAGACCATCCAGGCAATGGCCCTGCTTTCAGACTCTCATTGTTCCTCATGCTTTCTAGGATCTTAAGAGGAGGCCCTGGGCCCTGGGCTTCAGCTCCACCTTCCACCCGACGGGACAGCAACTGCTCCTTCAGCCTTTGATGGCTCCATTCTAGTCCAGCCGTCTGGCAGCCTTACCTCTTCAGGCCCCTCAAACTCTATCCTCCTTCAGTTTAGGGCTGAGGGGCAGCCCGACTCCTTTGTTTTAGGTCGGTCAGCCCACAGCGCTGGCATATCGTTTTTTTAAAAAAATTATTTTATTATGTGTGTGTACTGTCAAATCAGATCTGACAGGAGGAGATTGCCCCTCCTTCTCCAGCAGAGCATCTGATGGATTTGAACCGTGCTGTTAGGGACCTCTCCAAAGTACTGAAGAGCAATGGTGTCTCCCTGGAGACTAAGGTGCATCTGATACAGGCCATGGTCTTCGCAATCACTTGTTATGCATCAGAGAGTTGGACAATGACCA